AAAAATTGCCGACCATAAATTCTCACCGATGAGTCCTAAGTATTGTGTATGCGAGTCAGCGACTATACCTTTTAAATAAAACAAAACAAACAAACATTATTTGACTAGCTTTCTGTAAGCAAAAACATCGAGGTTGAATTTGATGGTGCTATGCTTGGTCCCAAATTCATGAATGAACAAAGGAGTTTCAGAATAGAATAGAATAATCTTTATTTGCATTAAATAGGGTTGACAAAAGGTGTTGGTATATAAAGAATATGTTAAAAGCTAAGAATCTTAAACCTATTAATATTCATAGCATGCAAAAAAATCTAATATATTAAAACATAACAGTCATATTAAATTTACCTATCATTCATTTAATAACAAGTATTTTATCATTATAATTTAAATTCAGAAGGCTATGTGCTATCACCTATGCTGTTTCTCCTTCTTACCTAAGCCTAGATGATAATAGTCGTAACATCTCAATTCCTGCTCTATAAACAGATAATGCGGAGGCAGGCTTAGAGTTACTGTTATTGCTGAACATGAAAGTCTTTGAAAAGGCTGCAGTTTGATGACAAGTTCAGTTAGACCACCAAACTGTAGGTAATCGGTACAAAATTTACCAAGAAGTCGTTTGCATTTCTAAACTCATGTTCCCGTTTAAGGCAACGAAAACATTGTAAACTTATAAAACCAATTTTACGCGATAAGCTCTTTCACATTGAGTTGACTCAATAGTTTATAGAATCTCCCCGATTTCCTCCTTCTTCGTCGTAGATGGTGATGATGAGCGACTGATTTGAGATATTTTTTTACGCAGGGTTACTCGCCCGGTGATAACTTACTGCTGCCGCTGTTGGTGGCGGCGCTATCGTCGATTGCGCTAGTGCTGCTGTTGGCGCTGGCAGTGTGGCGTCGCAAGAGGAGCCATATTACATCCGCCCAGATTGGGGTGAGTACCACTAGACCGCATATAAGGGCACCCGCTTGTGCAAAGCTGTTATTATAATACATAGGTAACCGCAGGCGACACTGCGGCTAGCGACTGCGGTCGTCGTTGCTTTTCTAAGCACGGCGACATGCCGCGACTGCACAATGCATAGAACCATGCCTCAGTCACTGCAGTCGCTACGCGCCGCGGGTGCAGGCCACAGTGTCGCCGCGTTCAAAATCAATTTCATAGAGATTCCTAGAAACAAGTTGTGTCGATATCGTTTGCGGTTTACATCCCGTCTCGGAATGGCACCTTAAGCGTGTGACACGCCTCCTAACGTCTTGGTATAGAAGTTTGCAATTGCACCTAATCATCATCCGACACTGACGGACGTATCCAATGAAACGCTCGCTACTTACCCCCTCCGCAAGACACCAACTTTGGCAATGTCGATTTCAAACAATATTTGAGTACTTATTGCGACTCTAAGTGGGAATGCAATGTGGTAAATAATATCAACAAGCAGGTAAATGATATCTTATGGGCTACATGAACATATCAGACTCGAAGGACCATCGTTATCTTTAGATTCAGTAACTATCACATGTATGGCTGAGTTCTTTTTTTGTTATTAGATAAGTACCTAATTGAAAAAAAAAACTACATTTTTTACTTTATACATAGAAGGTTCCGAAGTCATGTCATGTCGTTTTAAAAGCATTAGTGCGAGCATATGTTTTGTTTTATCTATAATACTAAACACAAGTAAAAGATTTTGCTTCTTAGGCCCCGTTATTTGATACGTAAAATGTCATATAGTTACTTTTTCTATAGTATTTAAACTACAGTCACATCTTACTATGTATCAAACAACAGGTGCTTTGTTTGATACTTGTTACACACCAGCTATAATGTTTGAACCCTTGTTCTAGAAGCTAACCGCCGAGCTACAGGCAGATGACAACACCAACTTACTGACAGCCGAGAATCCGGAAGACGCTGAAGAGTGAACGTAAACTTAAACTCGCTTCACGCTTGTTCTTCAGCAAATGAATATCTAATTTACAGCATCTTTACCAACAAACAATCATCAGTTAAATAGACCAAGACAACAATAATTATGAATAGGAGACAAAATGACGTTGTTCAACTTCCGCGCAAGTTTTTAGAGGTCAAGTTTATAAGAAAGCTCCATTGTGACACTTACGGTATAATATTTAAGTCATAAAACAAGTGCTATGTTAAAGAAACGCGATATAATATAAATGCTTAGATAAACATTTCTTGGGTTTTCCCAGTAAGTTCACAGTAGCTCTTATTAGGTGCCGTTTTATCAAAGGGAAGTCGTCGCGGAAGGAAGTTCTCACGAAACAATATAACATTTAGCCAGCCGGAAGCTATCGTTACTCACAAAAACATTGTGAATGTATTTTGTCCCAATCTGAGCTCGGGCCTTTTTGAAATTGGTGTTTCAGCGAACAAAAGAGAAGGTGAAATCTAAATGAACAAACTTAAGACTCATTTTGCTGTGTAATAAATTACGACTGACAATATTTCGTTTAACCGAATCCTTGTTGTTTTCCTATTAATGCCTATGCCAAACAGACGGTGAACTGAAGCAACCCAAACGATTGCTCTACTGTATCAATCCACGTTCTCATTTTTGTGTGACTAGATTAAAACTACTTCGAACATTACAAAAATAATAAAAACGCCTCGCTTTTGGCTGGCTATCTGGCTAGGACATCGTTTATACTGAACGAAAGTAATACTTAATGGTTGCTCATTGTTAGCAATAGCAAACTTATGCTGGCACTTTACATATATCGTATCGGATCGTCGGTCGGATTTGACAATTACTCTCCTTTTCATGTCCTACTTAGCATGTTATGCAGGCACGTCAACTGGCTATTCGCGTTTGCTTTTAGTAAATTTTACATCAGTTTGTCCTTATTATGCTGCACAAGGAATGAAAAGGACAGACTGGTGTCATGTTTACAAATAGTAAACACGAATAGCCAAATAAGTACCAGCATTAGAGATATAAGTACTGCTATTAAATATACATAATAACAAATACAAATTGCCATGTGAAGTGTAGCATTAAAGAGCTTACAGCACTATGAAAGGAGTGTTAAGTATGCTGACTTGTATTAGCTATCACGTTGTTCTATGATAAACAATTTACTGAGGATTATAAAAACGGAAGAATGCTATAGAAGAAGAGTAAAAAGTACTGTAAATTAGGCATTTCAGCACATTGTTATATTTTAGCCGCCTTAATATAGTTTCTCAAGTACAACCTTGGGGATCGTGTTCTTCTATCCATACCACTCACTTCAAATTTCCAGTGCCTATTGTTTGTATATAATGTACGATTGAGTAGATTCTCGATCAGAAGGCTAGAATTTCCATTCAGAGATACGATATGATATTTGTGTATATTTTGTAAACGCACTAGATATTCGGAATGGTAGTTTAAGTACTTCAAATGCCAAAAACGCTATTTATTTTTGGTACAAAGTAATCTACAACGTAGTACTTGCCGGACGCAGAGTCGATTAGATATAGTTAACGCCACTAAGAGCTTGTTAGAGTTTGCATTGGACACCATACATTAAATTTCATTTTTATCACACAATCGACACCCCTCTATAAAATTGTATTAAAGAAATCTCTATTTACAGTAGCACATCCACGAGTTATTAGCGATTTAAGACTTTATTGCAATATAAATAATATTATGACACATAAATGGGAGTGTCGATATAATAACGGTAAATTAATAATACTTACCTAAATCATATTTTCTTCACGTATAATCCAAACCAGTGATTATCACAAATAAACCAAAAATCGTATAATGTAGCAAATACTACATCATATGAAATGCAGGTAAATTTGTTTCCTATATCATATCTCTGAAACTCGACAGTATAACTCGTCAGTATTAATTAACCCTGTGGTGTATAGGTATGTATGTATGGATTAAGCATATTTATTTTTGTGTAGTCTTTTAGGGTAAGACGAAATATCAATCTCGATGTATGTGTTTGAAAGTCACTTTACATTTAAAATTCAAAAATATTTATATAATTTTAATATAGTTATTAAGACTGATGTATTTATCGATTTGTCGCGGTTCGGAGTAACGGGACGTGACAATGATAATGTGTTAGGTTTTTTTTTATATTTTAACGGCACTATTCGTTTTGGTAGTTACGGGCAACTTACAATGCCTATCAGCTGTGTATTTCAATGTTAGTTTTATGATGTAAATGTCAAAATCGGATAAGGGGGAAACGCGGGGATTGTTCTATATACATAGTTAGAATTTTCAAATGTGATACCTCTGTAGTATCGTATCGTCGTGATGTTATTCCCCAGTAGAAGGAATTGTGAGGCCATTGTTACTGGTGTTGCAAGCGTCATGAGTACCACTTAAGTAACGATGGCCTGAATTTTAAGTTAAAATGTAAGGAAATCATTTTACCAATCATGCTAGAAATTTTATATGTATAATTAATTATGCGGACGTTTAAGCACGGTGTCGATAGTAATAATTATAATTAGCTTGTCCAATTAGTATACATAATGTGGTTGCCTCGAGCGGTGTGATCATTAAGTAATTGCTGACAAAACTCACCCAAGTACAGTTGACAGTCTCCTACTTTAAAACGATAATAGCTTGATCTTTATATGCTGAACAAAATCCATCAACAATTTTTGTTGAGCGTTTATTGTATTAAAGTGTGTGACCACCAATCTGTTCAACTGTACAGAAACAATAAAATATGTTTTCCCACCCCAATATGGTTTTTCTCTTTTACCCTCGTCTTACTGTTATATGCCGTGATATTTTTATAAATATATGCTAAAGGCTATCGATAAGATATGATTGCAGGGAATTACATATTATAATAATCTGTTAACTCAAGGGAATGTGCATACTGAGTAAAGGACAATCAATAAGATTGCCTTCTACAACTTTTATTGTTATATTTGAAAACTTTAGTTAAGCATTATTTTCACTTGAGTATAATTTCTCGTATGCTATAAGAAAATCAAATAAAAGTTAAAGATACCACAATTGACTTATATTTCATACAATAATCAGACCTATTGCAACGAAAAATATTACATTTGAACATAAAATAATGCATACTTATTAACAACATAAACAATAATCTTTGTCTTATTGCATCTAACTTAGGGCTAATAGATTTAGGCGTCAATGCAAGATGCAATTGTGTTATACACTTTGTGTGATTAAAATCAATAACCAACAAGATACAGGAGAGCGTAGTACTAACCAATTTCATTCTTAATGTTAAAATGATATTTTAGCAAATATTGCCAGTGTTATAAAATAAAAACATATTGCTACCAGTACGTCATTCTGTACAGTACCTATCCAATAGTAAAATTATTTATAAAATCCTTCCCGTTATTAATACAATCCTGGTAAGTGGTTGATATACTAACATTTAATACGTCACCACTTAATTTTTTAACATTCGTACCGAATGGTACAATAAAAACCCTAATATTTACAATAGATAACTAAGCATCTCAAACATGCTTTTTTATAAACATGAAAGTTTAAGAATATGTTAACATATTTATTTACAATTTTGATTACGTTAAATTTATAAATATCATAATCTATTTTTATTATGTTAAGCATACATAAATGGTAGTAAAAATGCGTCACGAGAAAATCATAAATTTAGTTAAAGAAAAGAATATGTGCTGCATGAGATGCATCTTGAATTCCATTTCTTGCGCTTTTTGGTCAAATTTACTTTGCCTGAATATTTAATGTTTTTGTTTAATTATGGCATTTCCTTTAAATGTTTTCTAATATATTAGAATTACAACATACATAAATAAGATTTAACCATTGGTGTCAGTTTTTTACGTACTCAATTGTAATGCAGTATTTATAAATATACTGGCAAAGTAAAGGAACAAAAAAATAATTATATGTTATGGCAAAATGGTAGGTCCGATACTTGTTATTGAGACAGATGCATGATACACCCAAAACAGCGCATTTTCCCAGTACAATTAAAGAGATACTACAATACGATTAATTTTTACCGTAAAATATTATTTAATTTGTACACTTTTTTAATGTTGTGGTAAAAATTTGTATACAATACTGATAAAAAGAAACATTCTCCCAATTCAGTGGCACACATTAAAAAGTTTATCTTGAACATAGTTATCTCTCTCTGCTTTTCGTGATATAAAAAGGACAGGCAGAAAAAAATTTACCATTCTCATAATGCATTCTTTAATAAAGACCGCATCAGCCAGGACTATTGCCTCTGGTTTTACGCGGTTTTAAAAATTTTCACATATTCAAATGAACGCATATAGGTACGATCGAACCAACTGATTCCTTACACACTTGCCTGATAATTCGTTTAAAAATGTCAAAACAAACAAGTTTTTCTTTGTAGAGAATGCTAAATTACACTTAGGACCCCGTAATAACAGGGAAACTGTTAATATGGATCAAATATATTTGAAATTTGACCTATATATTCAATGAAATAGATCATATTATAGATAAAATTGAAAAAGTAGTTTAAAATCCGAAATCAAATTTAAAATCGTAATTATGTAACAGGAACTCTTTCGTTTTCTTGATACTACAAAAACGTTGTTAAACTAACAAAGAAATAATTATGAGTATGGGCAAAACTCCAAGTAATTTAATGTCAAAATTATTTCACAGGAATGCGGAAAAATCTGTCACGTCAAATATGATTGTTCAGAAAATAACAAGTTTGTTTCACGTACAGCTAAGCAAAAATCTACTTTATTGTTTTGCAATGGCTGTAAGAAAATAAGCTTATGATGGGTTATGAATGAAATTGGCTGATCATACATATATATTATAACAGCCCATTAAAAATGTTTCTCTAAATTAGTGTTCTATTAAAATACACTTACGGACACATCTATCGGCCCACTTAAGGTTCAACGGTCTGCAGCAAAAATATATGTTAGAGTGAGCCATAACAATATATTTTTGAAAACACACGAAATAGCTGGTTAATTAGCTTCAAAACTGCATTAGAAACTTTTTGCCAAATATAACTTTTTTTTTAACCGTAAATTACCGTCAAATCAATACTTAAAATGCTAGGTGGGCCGATAGATGTGTCTGGAAGTATATAAGAAACGAGTATCTCTATCTTTTTACGTGATTCATCAATTGCCTATGATATATTTTGATACATTTCCCGCCCATTCTTGTTTTATCCAGAAGAACAGAATAGAGGAACCAGAACTTATAAATGGTTTTTGAATGAGGTGCCAAACATAGAATACACATTTGAACACGATCACTCCCTGATGGTGGTGTATTGGCTTTATCGCTTACTAAAATTGCACGAAGCCGAAATAAACACATTGCATTTTTCCTCGCTTCTGTTACAGTGCGGCCAACAAAAGTATGCGATCCTGACAGGTTGTGCCAGATCCGTAATTTTATATTAATAAAATCCCTCAAGCGACTTATGTCAAGCAAGATAAAGCCAGAGAGATAAAGAAATTTTAGTGTTGGACAATTTAGTATGTCGCTTTATGTGCTTTTGAAAATTTAAATTATCGAATCGAAGAAAAATACGTATCACTTACTGCAACGTTTAAAAGAACAAATATACACAATAATAAAAAAACGTATTTAAAACCGTTAGTAACGAATCGACCACAACATTGATTTATACATCAAATTGGAGAGATCACAGTAACAACTTAATAGTTGGAGAATATTCGACTTACCATTAAAATATTGTGTGACTCAACGAGTAGGTTATTTGGGATTTTCTTTGTTCCTTTTTTTTAAGGCGGTGGGTGAGCGGGACGGAGAATGCGTGCTAACACGTGTCTGCCACCGACAAGCTTCAATTGTTGACCATCCATGAGTACACTACGAACGCCGCTAGATGTCGCTACGGTAGCGTTGGTCGATGAAGATGCCTTGAATAAACGATATTTTAAATTAAATTTATGTTGACTTAAGGGTTTTTTTTTATTAAATCCGGATGAAAGTGATTTTGAGAGTGTGTGCGTAAACATATTAATAAACAAGGAATAAAATCTTACATTAGTTACGCCCTGTTTTTTTCATGTCATTCATATGCCATTTGTCATTCAATGAACAAAGACAAAACATGGAGTAATTAATCCAAGCTTATTCTTCGTTTGTTAATAAGGGGGAAAGTGTTTATATATTTGATAATAAAATTAAGATACTTGTCAAGAATTTCTTATCAGAAAATCTTATGGATCGGTTTATACCACATTATGACATATAGAACATAAGTTTCAAATAAAAATGATCTTAGTGTTAACATGTTAGTAATAGATATTTGTTTCTTAGGTTTTCACGCACATCACTCATTAAATAAAACTAGTTTTTACGGGTTAATGCACGAAAACTTTATTTATTTATTGACACACTGCAAGACCATCAGATACTATTAGTTCTTTTTGTTTGCATAATTTAACATAAGAAGGAGATAGAAAGCCTCTCTTGAGTTTATTTCGCCGGTTCTTCTCAGGAAGGTCTCCCAATTTTGGAACCGGTGGTAGTTTACCTTAGTTAGGGTCAAATAAATAAACTCAAAATTACAAACAAGAATTTTAAATAAAATACTTTATTAAGTAAATTAAATAATAAATTCATACATAGACAATAATTTTTTTAAAATCTTCCAATGAAATAACCGAACGCTCAATATAATTCTTTCGAAGGTAGCTCGACAATTTTAAATAAAATCATTATTCTGACTATGCAGCCTGAAAAGGCTGCGAAACGTCAATAAATAAAGAAAGTTTTCATGCATTAACCCGTAAAAACTAGTTTTATTTAATGTTAGTAATAGCTTTAGCACAGCTTTTTTAATACTAAAACAGCCTATTTTGTAGCGACTTAAAATAGTGAAGTTTTTCTGTTTATTTTCATATAAAATGAAATTGACTAATTTGCAATTGGTTAATTATTTTAAAATAACAAACTCTAAATTGTAAAGTCTATCGCAGTATTTAAAGAATCTCAATCATACTTCAAAGGTGCATTGAGTATTAAAATTTTGAAAACCATGCATTACTTTTTATAATACTTTATTTTGTTGTAAGTGTCATGAATATGCGTATTAGTAAATTCAATACAATAATTTAAATTATTATAGCCAAACCATATTAACCCACATCCGAAACTTATAATTATATTATCTAAGAGAGATTTGAAATCTTTAATACATATTTCATATTGCAGCTTTCTTTTAGTATTCCATGCAACGCAATCCCCCACTGCAAGCGCGTTTGATGTATTAATTCCATTAATGTTCATTTCATCTTTAGTAACATGAAATAGTCCCGAAGTTAACTGAAAAACCCCAAGAAAGAGTTATTGCAGCTCTTGGAATTTTAAAAAAGATTTCAAAACGGCAGCTTTTCTGTTTATTGCCTGTAAAACTTGGTAATGTTGGTATAGAGCGAAGTGCATTCTGTAATGACCGAGTAAAGCCGATGCGATGGGGTGACGTAAAATGACCTAAAAACGCATATTATGTGTGGGAAACTCCATAAATTTGTCTGTGTTAAATCCATGCTGTCACTTTAATATCTACAGAAACCAATGGATACATTCCGAATCAACCGAAATATCGATTATGGCGTTCAAAGTGACAATAGTCTACTTATCGTAATGAAATAGATTCATTTTAAGAATCAAAAGCTAATATGAGCATTATCACTTTCTTCATTTTAGCGAAAAGATTGCAACTGTTGCTACATATCTTTTCCCAAGGATATTCAAAAACCCTCACTGGATGAGGCAGATGGAGGATGAGCTTCTGGCAACCATTGTAAAGTTGTCAGTCCACCTTGTTCATGAAGAACATGGCGCCAACCAGAGAACATATTATTTGTTTGTGCCCTTTTTGTTAACGCAGGCAAAACCTTTATCTACAGGCATTGGCGCCCTTAAGGGGCTACTTATGTATGTCATTTCTTAAGGCTTTAACCGCGCGGTTTGTTCTTATACCGATACCATACGATTTCGCTAAGATTGAAGTATATTGTTCATTATAAAATCATAAACATGAGGATTCACATTCATTCTTCTAACACAATATCAAACAATCAACATTGTTAAATATATTCATCTGCTTACATATCAACTCAAGACTAATCAGCAGCAGCATAAAAAAAGGATTCTATCAAACATACGAATGCAATTATTGTGATCCTGTTTCATATTATTATGCTCCTTTACCCCGATTTCATTTACATGTACCCCCCATTTAGAAACATTATCTCTATGGCAAGTGACAGACCACTTTGTTGTATGTAACAAGGCAATTAAATATCAACTACAATTATTTAGAATTGAACCACCTATTCTATGAGTTTCTATTTCAGAAAGCCATAATCGATTTTATCGTATTTCGGAAAGTAGCCGTCACCGCACACTTTGTGTAAACCATCATGCATGAGTCATAAATCACCTGCTGAATTTTTATTCCTTGCGCGAGTTTGACCTGTTGTAACGCATTCACCTAAAATGTGTAGATATGGAGAAATCAGTTTTTATATTGCAACTTTTATTATGTAGTTTGTTTATCACAAAATAAATTAAAAACTTATTCCAATTTAAAGTAAGCGATAAAAGAGATTGTAAGTAGTTCTTTTTATGTGTACAAATTTCTAAAAACTATAAAATACTTGTGTAAAAGTATTAACACCAGATAATGAAGCAGCGACGCGAAGACTAGACCCAATATTATAAGTTTCCAAAACACAAATCTTTGAAAGTTGAGTAAATTTTCAGCTGCAATAAAAATGAGTTTTTTGTTACCAACCCCTTATGCTTCATTCATTCATTCATTCAAGAGGTATATAAACCTCTGAGGCTTAGGACTCGCGGCGCGATTTTCTCCTGCGCCCGACGAGGCTGCGGGACTACAACTCCCGTAGAATTTAACATTGTAGGTAAAACGCATAAGCTAAACTCACGGTGCGATTTGCGCCCAGAGCGAGGGCGTTTACGGCACCCGCTGCAGGCGTGCGTGTTATATGGCGCGCGCGTTATACAATGATCGAGATGACCTTTAAAATAGGTTGTATAATTATTGAGCACTTAATATTGGTTGATTCAGTGATGTTATTGCTGCTTCAATACTCGCACTTGATTTTGAGATGTTTTTGTAATGTTGTTTCTTAGGTTTTTACGCACATCACTCATTAAATAAAACTAGTTTTAACGGGTAAATGCACGAAACTTTATTTATTTATTGACGTTTCACAGCCTTTTTTAGGTATGCTTCGTCAGAATGATTTTTTATTTAATGTTGTCGAGCTACCTTCGAAAGAATTTTATTGAGCGTTCGGTTATTTCATTGTTAGATTTTTAAGTTTTATTGTAAAGGTTATTTTAATGTTAGATCTAATAATGAAATAACCGAACGCTCAATAAAAGTCTTTCGAAGGTAGCTTGACAAAATTAAATAAAAAATCATTCTGTCGAAGCAGACCTGAAAAGGCTGCGAAACGTCAATAAATAAATAAAGTTTCGTGCATTAACCCGCTAAAACTAGTTTTATTTTATGAAATATTCTGTTAAAATAGGACCAGCTGCGGGCTGGTGCAGCAACAAGCCACTTCGTGAGTTCTTAAACTGACATACGGACGGACAAAGAATCCTAGTAATAGAGTTCCCTTCTCACCTTTTGGATACGGAGCCTAACAATTATGAATATTTAATTACAATCGCGATCCGAGTTTAGAAACCAATACTCTTGGCAAAAAAAATTCTATGACTAAGCAAGTATAGACCTACTTTGATTGTATTTCCTCTTCGCGTCGCCACTTTATCGCTAACATTAAAAAATTACTTAAGATACTAATAGCAACAAAACACAATCATACGACATTTATTATTGAAATTAATGTATCTCACCTGTTGTAACTTTAACACGGGCGGCGATGAAGTCGATGTGGTTACGGCTTGAGCTCCTATAGTAACATGGAGGAACGCTGTATTAGTACTATAATCGCCTTACGCATAGAGAACGGACTTGCGTTCTTTGTGAATTATTTCCATAGACAAAGCAAACGGGCGGCTCATAGGTTGTACAGGTATTGATTTTGGTTCTTTTCTTCTCTTTATTAAGAGTTGACGGTTTCATGCGAGTGTCGCCCAGTCTGCTCTCAGTTAATGCACATAAACCATGAGTGTCGAGTAGATTTCGACGTATTCAAATCATAAGACATAACGAATGGCATGAGAAACAGGCACATAAAATAAACAGCTCACTAGAAAGGGGGAAAGCGATGTTGCAACAATACCTATACAAAACGATCGTTTCGTATCTCACACACTTAGGGCGCTTTCAATTCGTCGTACAGCGTTCGGACGATCCTTTTTTTTCACACAAAACGCGCGGTGCGGCAACAGTGCGGCGCCGGTACCGCGAACGCTCGACAACAGGACTGTTGCCGCACCGCGCGTTTTGTGTGAAAAAAAAGGATCGTCCATACGCTGTACGACAAACGCACCGCTTCGGCACCGCAGCAGGCCGCCAAGAAACGCATAAATTGAAAGCGCCCTTATGCCCAGTTTTATCGGCAAACTATATAGGGACGAAGCGAGACGTTGAATGGATGAATTTAAATTTTATTGTTGGTTTTCGTAAGCTACACTTATATATCGAAATCTGTAACAATGAAAGAAATAAGTCTGTAACTATATTAGTAGCTAATTAAAGCATGAAATATCTCACCAATACTATTCAAAACGATAGTCTGCGTTGGGGTCACACCGCCACTGGATGTGACGCGAATCGGATTTCCATCACCTTGCTGTAAATAAACATAAAGTTTAGAATTATAACTTGGAAATGATAATTAACAAAATTAATTTTATAAAATTGTACAGAAATCAACTTTCATTTCCTACCAAGGGTTCTCGAAGAAGGTTAGTGTCATATATTTCTATGCAAAACTAAAAAGTCTGTTATGATAGGTTACTTTAATCCTCCTAATGCCGCTTTAAAATATTTAATATGGTTGCTTTTAGAGGTGCGTTTCGTACAATTCAAGCATGATGGTGGTTGTCAAGTTAGCAGAGAGCGCAACGCTGCGAGGTTTCAGAATTAAAAATCTTTCATAAAAAAACTTCTTGACATTTGACGGGTAACGAGATCCAATTCGATATTCGTGCTTAGGGTAAAAAATCATAACATTACCTGTAGGATGATATTATGTAGGGGTTTCGCAGCGGTGAGCAATAAAGGCCGAGCAGGGGCCAATACCCGCACTGGCCTCACTCCGGCCGCTTGTAGTTGTTGTATGGAACGGGCGCCTACTACACCTTCTAGAGAGATCATTTGACCCTGAAACCATGGTATTCTCTTGAAAATCTATGAAATGAAATTTATTTATTCACACAAAATAAAGTAGATACATTTTGGTGCTGATGTCAAACTTCATTTAATTGCAAAATTTATAGATTGTCATTTAATTTATTCTATTCTAAGTCAATTTTCGTTTCTAAATATCCTCTAACTGAGTAAAAACATTTCGTTATTAGCCACATTTTCAGCTTTCTTTTAAATATAGGCAATATAAGCAAATGTTTGCGATTGCGGAATTGCATTCAACATCATCATGAACATCAGCCTAATAATGTCACCCTCCTATTGCCACAGTCCTTTTCTATGTATGGAATATTAACAACCGAGACCAACGGTTTAAAATGCCAAGAACTCGAGATAGTAAATTTTTGGTCTCTCATCCAATGACCGACCACTGCGAAAGTTGCTTAACTTCAACTAATAGTAGGGGAGCCCAAGCGGGGATTTGTGGATTTACTCAAGCGCGGCAAATTAACATATGTGAGGTAACCTTGCACCTAGTTAAGTACTTCCACCATCCCTGAGCCCTCTATGTAGGGCCGAACGTATAGGGCAGCATAAACAAAATTTCAAAGAACGGTAATGACTTTTGGTCGCGCCCAAATTTTCAGTCTTTTGAATATAAGCTACTTAGGGGTTCATGTAACGTTTTTAAGAACGGAAAAAATATTGATCTGCCGCGTTTTGCACGATATGGGGGTGGCCGTACGAAGAGGTAGAATATAGGAAAAAAATAACCGAGCGCATCAGACATTGAGAAGAGATGTTCCTTGAACCCTCCAGTAACTCCTATTCAAAAGACTGACGATTTGGACCCGACCAAAAGTCATGGCGGTTTGTAGAATTTTTTTTTTGCTGCCCTAGACGTTCGGCCCTACATAGATGAGTCAGGGGGAGTACTTAACTACGTGCAAGGTTGCTCCCCATATGTTATTCTGCCGCGTTCGAGTAAATCCAAAAATCCCCGCTTGGGCTCCCCTACTATAAACCACTTGCGCCATCGAGCTTCTCCTACATATTTCATTTAAGATTTTTAAATGAAATACGTACATAAATATGTACTGTTTAAATTGTACAACTTTTAAACTATATTCCAGATATTTAAGTGTTATTTATAAATTTTTGTGGTTTATAAAAAGCAAATGGAATTTAAACAAAAATTCAATCAATCCTTTATTTGCATGAAAACGTTATTATCAGAAAAATAACAAATTTCCTACGTACTCTTTAGACAATAAAATACAAGATATCTATACAAGTTCTATACTGATGTATACTTACTTGAGCATTCGTCAATAGTTTAGCAACGATAGGTTGCGCAGTCTTCTCAGTATTGGCCGGGTTTCGCACCACTTGCGTCACGGCCTTAGCTGCCGGATTCGCCAGTTGAACCGTTTGTCCACTGGCTAATTGTAGTGTTTGTCCACTAGATAACTGGACGGTCTGTCCACTGGACAACTGCAAGGTTTGCCCACTTGGCAATTGCACTGTCTGACCACCTGCTAATTGTACCGTTTGTCCGGCTAATTGAACAGTTTGAGCTCCCAATTGAACGCTTTGTCCACTCGACATTTGTACACTTTGACTATTAGGAAGTTGAACCCCTGATCCCAACTGAACAGTCTGCATATTCCCACTGGCTATTTGTACGGTTTGTCCCGAAGGTAATTGAATGCTTTGCGACGGTATAACACTTTGACTAGCGACTTGAACACTCTGACCACTCGGCAACTTAACAGTGTGCCCAGTCAATTGCACGCTCTGCCCGGCCAGTTGCACAGTTTGACCGGCTATTTGGACTGTTTGTCCAGAGAGTTGGACTGTCGATACCGGTATCGGGACTGAGGTTTGAGGGGTCACTGTTTTTATTGTTGGTGAAGATTGGAGTGTTCGCGGACTGGGGGCTTTGACTGCAGCAGAAGAGACTGCTCTGACCGCTTGGACTGTTTGTGGGGAGGCTAATTGTACTGTTTGCCCACTGGGTAATCGAATACTGTGTGTTGGTAATTGCAACGATGATAGCTGGAGGGTATGTCCAGAAGTCAATTGGACTGCTTGTCCACCTGGTAAGTGCACCGTTTGATTAGCGGCTAATTGGACCGTTCGCCCTCCAGCTAATTGTACAGTGCGAGTTGCTAAAGAGGAAGTTACGGCTGTTGGAACGCTGCTTACTACTGTGGTTGCGCTTGTTAAATTCTGGAAATAATACATATTTCATGAAATAATAGTAATCAATAGAAATATCATTTATGAAGCAGTTATAAATGATAATACCTGGGCAATAGTTGTGACTGATGTTGTACTTGGTATCGATGGCCGCTTTTTTGCTATTGTTGGCGTTGCTCCTGATAAATTACAAACGAAATTTAACTATGATATTCAGCCATATTTTTATAAGATTCTCTAAACCTTAAACTTAATGGGGCATGATGTATCGCTTTTTCATTCCTTATAAAACATAATACGGATATACTAATGTGAAATTTGGTTTAAGGTTCAGGGAAGCTTGCTAAAATTTGGTCTAATGAATTACAAAAAAAAATCCACAATAGTATCATAAAGTTAAAAGTGGCTTTGTCTGTTTATCTCTTTATAATGCGATTCAACTAAGAATAGGACCGACTGGGCGCCATATTGTGACGTTATAGCTGTCAATTCAAACCAAATAGGTAGAGTGAAGAAAATAGTTTTAATTAATAAAACTTATTTACTAAGATTAAGTGAGAAAAAAAACAAATTTTTTAAATAAAATTTATTTACTAAGATTGAGAAAAAGAACAATCGATTTTTAATAATATTTATTTATTAAGACTATGTGGAGAAAACATTAATCAGAACCTAGCTCTTCAATTCCGCTCATCTCTGCATTACCACCGGAGTAGTTATAAATAATCATGCACTATTACTAGGTAACATACGAACATGCATATTTTATGTAAAAGAAAGTTTAAAATCGAGTTTATAACCGCAACTTAAAGTGCCATTTGGTTGACGATTAAGGTTATCAACCATTCATAACCAGAGCTCAATAAATGAAAAAAAAAAGGTATCAATCAATATTAATTATCAATATGTTATTGTTTGTTTACAAATGTTTAGTTTTTATTCTAGAATTAGCTGAGTGCTAAAAAGGGATCCAAGATTTTTTGCAAAATATACTTTTCAAGCGCCATATTGTGACAGATAGAGGTCATTGGCTTTCCTATTCTTATTTGAATCACACTATATGTAGGTTGCGCTTTCACACCTAAGCTGTAATTGATAAATTTTGGTAAATGAGAAAAAGAGAATCTCGCAAGGACGTAAGTTTCTTTTTGGCACTTACATAAAATTGTAAGTGAGTTAAAAAACGGGGAAAATACTTATTAACAAAGAAAACGGGAAATTATAATACCTGTCTGCATGAGAGCTCGTGGAGATATCAGAGACTTTCCAGAAGACGGTGTGGCTGGACTTAACACTCTAACGACGCCACGACGCGATGTAGCTACAGTCTATAAATAATAAAATACCTGTACATATTACATTAATTATCATAAATCACAACCTATAAATGTCTCCGTTGCTGGTGCATAGGCCTTCCCTATGTATGGAATAGGGAAACTGGACCATGACCCACCACAAGAGCCCAGTGCGAATTGGTAGGTGCTAACGACTGCAGCTGCAGCCGGGACCAATGGGAAATGTTCCCAACCGGGAAAAAAACAATAACCCGACTTCAACGCCACTTATAGGATTGAGTTATGAGTGAATTTTACCAAAGTTTTCATACTGTACCCTTAGCACAAACGATATCGAATTCGAATAGTTGAATTATGGTTCAATACGCATCAAATGTCAATAAATTAAATTCGAACAGCGCTATCCATATAAAACTAACGAGATAGAATTCAACTGTTCGAATTTGATATTGGTTTGTGCTAAAATCCGTTTTCATTTTCAAATGCTACATATGAAAATTTAAATGGTATTTCAAAAAATACTATAAATTAAATTAAAATTTAAATATTTCCAAAACTCACACCAATTAGCCTAGCCCCAAAGGAAGCACTGTAAGGCTTGTGTTATAAAATACTGGAGTAACGGATAGAATACATATTCTGTACAAAATACATATTAAACATACATGACTGGAGAGACGCCAATGTGCAACCGGTGCCCAAAAAAGGGGACCGCTCAGACCCGACCAACTATCGGCCGATAGCTGTCACCTCAGTGTTGTGTAAAATCTTAGAAAGGGTCCTTAACAACCATCTGACCCGCTACCTAGAAGATTAATCTCTGATTCACGATCGTCAATACGGATTTAGGCCGAATCGATGGACAGATGACCTTCTAGCGTACGTGCACACATCTGGGGTGAAGCTATAGACAAGCGGGGAGAGTCTCTGGCTATTAGCCTTGACAGGGTCTGGCACAAAAGCCTTCTCTCCAAGCTTCCTGTATACGGTCTGCCTGCTCAGCTCAGCGCCTGGGCAGCTGACTACCTGCATGAGCGTAGAATTCGCGTCCTTACGGGCGGATGTAGTTCGCAGTTCATGTCAGTGAATGCCGGTGTTCCTCAGGGCTCCGTTCTATACCCCACACTCTTTCTGCTGCATATCAATGATTTGATTCCACTTGCGAATATTCATTGCTGTGCAGACGATAGCACAGTGCATGCGAAATACTTTGGACACGCGGCGGCTGGACAGGTAGAAACCATGGAGAAACGGGAGAATCTTGTCGTTGAGCTCAATCAGGCTTCGGACCACATTTCCGAATAGGGTACCAGGAACTTGGTTGAGTACAATGCCAAGAAAACTTAGGCTTGCGCTTTCACGGCAAAAACATCGCCATTCCTTCCCCTTCCCTCTCTTCAGGGCACAACACTGACGCTACAGAGCAATATTACCATGCTCGGTATGGAAGTTCGATCAGACCCGAATCCAAAGGACTAAATCGAAACCTTGATCAAAACAGCTTCAAGCAAACTCGGAGTCATGAACAAGGTGCGCGTTTTTTCACGTCCGATCAACTGTGCTTGTTGTACAAAACGCAAGTGCGGTCCTGCATGGAATTTTGCTCGCACCTCTGGGATGGCTCCGCTAAGTACTTACTCGATGCCTTGGATAAGTTGCAGCGGCGCGCTGCCCGCATCATTGGCGATGAAGAGGTAACTAAGAAACTCGAGTCTCTACTGTGGTATCATTAAGCGCATTCTACCGACTATACCACGGCGAGTGTTCTGAGGTGCTATTCTCGCTTATCCCTCATCATCTTTTCTTCAGAGGACCACGCGCGCTGGCCTACGTTGCCACCGACTTACTGTGGCCACTATTCCAACACGAACAAAGAATTTTGGCGACTCATTTCTTTGTCTTACTATTCGTAAGTGGAATTATTTACCCGCGCACGTGTTGCCTCCTTCCTATAATCTGGGGTCCTTTAAGAAGCGTGAAGAAGCATTTTTGCGGGCCTGCAAGGTGAGGATGGTTGGTGTAGCAGTTTATAACTGCTGTACTAGCTATCTTCGTGTTTGGACTTTATCACCACTTAACATCAGGTGGGGTAGAGTCATTTGCCTACCTAGTTATATAAAAAAAAACAAATGCTCGTATTCACCACACAAACATCTGTCCCCACCGGGATTCGAATCCGGGACCTCTCGAGTCGGCGACACCATAAACCCGGCGTACAAAACACTTGGCCACGTAGGTCGTCTTACTACTATAATAAAAGAAAGAATGGTTTTCAAACAAACCTGTGTGGTTGGTTTAGTCCCAACAGCAGTGACCGTAGTCTGTATAGCTGGTGGCCTTATTAGCAACGAACGCGTACCTTGCACCGACTAAATAGGAAGAAGAAATATGTATATGCAATTATATTTTTAATGTTAGAAAAGAAATCTAAAATGAACAGATTTACTTGTAGGAGCCAATACTGGGGGGTTTTTTTATGTACCTTTTACTTTTTACATTTATATTATACTAGCGGCCGCCCGCGACTTCGTCCGAGTTAACTTTTAGTTTTTTTTACAAACAAAAGATTTTTTCTAAAATAAAACTAGCCTGAGTTACACTTTATTACATCAGCTACCTGCCAATAAAAGTCCCGTCAAAAACGGTTCAACCATTTCAGAGATTAGCCGGAACAAACAGACAAAATATTTTGGTGTATGTACCGTATACATATTCACATGCATGTAGTAAAAAGCGGTTATTTCAATATTACAAACAGACACTACAATTTTATTTATATGTATAGATTTATCACTCTTACTTTATGCATCTCTTTTAATTAAAGTATTACAATAAAACAGCAGTTTATTAGTTTTCTCAACAATTACTTTGTTTAAATTACCTTATTCTGATTCTGTGGTGTTGAAATCGTAAATGTGGGTTGTAACACAGGAGTGGAATTCGTTTGTGACGGTGTGATAGGAGCAGATGCCTGTAATACGTACAAATATATAATTAACCTTTATGTGCGACCCAGTCAATGAAATTTTCAAGAAACTTAGAAAAATATAGATCGGTAAAGGAGATTGCTCAAATTGGCCCAAATGCACAAAAAATATTGACATACACGGTAATTCTTGGCGTAATTTATAATTTAATTTACAGTCATTAGATTTCAACGGACACCTTTGCATAATATATTTACTTTAAAAAGGACTTTTAATTTTACCGGTTTGGAAAACATACGAATCATTTTTAATGGCTATGTGTATTAACATTCAGCCAAAGACTACGAAGTTGTTTATATAACATAAAACAATCTATTTTGTTAAGATCGATAAATTTTTTTTTTTTATTACACTGTGGTATTAATATCCACCACTATATTATCATTTTCACTAGATGCAAATGTCAGTACTTGGCTTGATTTCCCTAGTTTACTATATAACTTATTTGTTTTTTATTATTTTAATATGTTCAGTGTATATAGTTTATAGAAGTTCTCAGGGGTGTCCGTCAATAATATTCGTTTATACAGTAATTTATATATAATTTCGAATCTAGGAAACAATTTTTCAAGATTATTGGTCTTTAGGCCAAACATGTATGGAAGCTGAGCAATCTCCTTTATTAATATGCAATACAAAAATATTTAAACCAATTGATTGATTTTAACTATAGCTTGCGTTAACAAAAAATCGAGTCGAAAATAACAATGCAAGACATCCTATCCCGCTCGCACATTGTTCCAGACAGAATGTGCGAGAGGGACGGAATGTTTTCGTTCTCATTTTCGATTTGTTACTTTATAAGCGCGAGTTATCAAAAAATATATATTATAAGCTCACAAATTAGAAAAAAATAGTGATACCATCTATTTTCCAATGTAAAATGATCTCAATTGATTTGACCACTTATAATTTAATTGTTTAGAAATAAATCTCAACCCTACTGCATGGTAAAATGTAAAATATAAAGGCTTTTTTATTTACTTACACTTGTGATAGGTGGTTCCGCCTGTCTTTGCAACGGTCTCTGCTTTATTAAAGGCGATTTATGAGGAGTAGCTACTATAGTAGGCAATGGTTTCTGTACTTGAGTCACAGTTTGAGTAGTCATCGGACTCTGAGCAACAGTAACTTTTGGTTGAACCGGTTTAACAGGTTGGGTAGGTGGAGTTTGTTTGGCCTGAATCACAGGAGTTTTTGGCGATTGAATAGGCTTTACGTTAACTTGCTTTGTGACTATATTAGTTTTGGGGATATTTTGCTTAGTAGTCGCAGTTTTGGTAGTCACTAAGTTGACTTGCTTCGTTTGAGCCAAAACTGGAGTTTTAGTCTGCGTCGCTGGGATTTGCTTAGCTTGTACGGTTTGTTTAGGCAATGGATTGATTTGTTTCGTCTGGTTTATAAGGTTCGCTTGTTTTGTCGCTTGTGACATTAGGGTGGCTTGTTTCGCTGCTTGGCTCAGGAGATTCGCTTGTTTGACTGACTGAGTCATTAAAGTTGCTTTTGGCTGTTTTATTTGGACGCTGGATTTAGTTTTCTGCGGTGGAGTAGCGATTAGCTTTCCTTTGGGCTTTGTTGGTGGTACAGTTGGCTGTTTGGATTGTACTGATTGCGTCGCTTGCATGAGCAATTGAGCTGATGATAAATGAGAAACGGAAGATGATGCCGAAGTGTCTTCGATGTCGACGTCGCTGTCTGATGCGTTTTCCACCACTTCCTCCATACTACCCACTTCTAACTCCATCTGCTGAAAGGAAAATATAACATTGCATTGGTCGAATACCTATTCTATCAAATGAATACCACAATGTATATTTAAACTAGCGACGTGTTACAAAAAAATGACTCTGAAATGAGGTTCCTTAAAAATTAATGTGTTTCAGTATTGGTAAAAAAAAATGTAAAATTTCGAATCAGTAGTTTTGCCACAGAATGAAATGAACCAGTGTTTCGTATTTTTAATTATTACTTATTATAGTAATGCATCAAAATTTTACTGTAACGAAGTTATCACGACAATGTTAGTTATTAAATTATTCACACTTTACTACCATTAGTATCATACTGTAGTGACTATAATATTCTTTAAGGTTTAATATAAATGATAGCCATCCAAAAGCAATCACGGATTCCAGGTGCATTGATCAACGTCAAAGTCAATGGCTACACTGAGAAAATGTTCACAATATAACGTAATAAAAGTGAACTCGAAGTTGAACTGAAATTACAATGACCGAGAAAACCATCAATATTATAATCAACGTATTAGAAATGATATGGAAGCATTATTCTCTAACAAAGGTCGCTAAAACATAGTTTTAAACTCAGACAGCTAAACTTCAATACCAACGCGACACGAACACAGACAAAACCAAATAGTTTAACGAATAAAATATCTGCAAATGAATTCAGCTATTTATTAATTGGGTAAGATAATTTTAAACGGAAATCCCAACCAATCCTATGATCAGCGGGTTGAACGCAGTTTTTTCGTCCCGCCCACTTGATCACAGTTTGCGTTAAACCACTTTTTAGCGCAGTTAGCATCCATACTATTTATAATTCATTGATTATAATGTAAAAATATTTTTAAGTTCTTTTTATGTCTATACTTACAGCCGATGGTAACGAGGGAGTATCGCGGACAACTCGCGTTAATGCAGTAGTCGTTTTACTAGCGCGTCCTCGGCCAGTAGTCTTCGTCCAATCATCTTCTGACCTACAATAAGTAGTTGAAAAATCTAGACATAAATTTAGAAGCAATAAAACTGTTGACACATATTAAAGTATTTTCGGACAAAGAAAGGTTTTTAAGATTAGAAAATAAAAAAAAAATGTTTAGAGTTTTAACACTTCTTAACCAGACGAGGAATAAGCTTAAGCCTTGTTACGCCATGTTTTGATAATATCGCTCAAATGCAATTAGTCGTTCAATGAACAGAGACAAAACACGCAGTAGCTAATCCAAGCTTATTCTTTGTTTATTAATAAGAGGATTGAAGTTTTATAATTTTCCTCAGATCAAAAAGCATGCAACTGCGGCTCGTAAGAAGATTTGGCTTAGAACAAAGCATCATTTCTGTCACGCACACTGCCACGTTACGTTTCAGGCGTTCTTCTGTCTAATTTATGTTTTGTGCTGAGCCAAAAGTAAAATAACACAAGTTTAATAATATTAAACTGATATTATAAAGCTGAAGCGTTTGTTTGTTTAGTTGAACGCACTAAACTCAGGAGCTACTGGCACAATTAAATTAATTATTTTTGTGTTCGATATCGTACGTACTTCGAGGGAGGCTATAATATATACCGTTACGACTAATACGAGCGGAGCACTAATAAAAAACGTTGCAACAACATGAAAAATATTTCTTTGTGAGCTCCTGTTGCGTGCGCTGCGTAAACGGTAAAAGTTACAAAAAACCTGTATGACGGAATAGGCTATTTGACAGTATAAAAATAATGTACCATGTGTTGGCATCTGTACAATATGAATATTAGAAGCGATTATACAATTCCAAGAGAACAAATAATTGAGTATTTGACATGTTTTAGAAAACGATCTCACGTTATTGACTAATGTTTATGGAGTCCGTATATAGGATATTCATCATTCTGTTGTGTACTTCAGTAAAAATAACCATGTCAAAAACTCCATTTTCAAGTTGCCGCGAAAACGTTTCGCTGGACAATATAGCGTCTTACTAGTGTGTGACGTCACACGACTGTTATTAAAACTTTAAACGATACAATGTAATGTCACTTTAACCGGAAGTTTACTTGCGTGTGACGACATTTTAGGCTCCGCCAATCCCAAGTGTTTTGGGTTACGTGACAATAGATAAGAAAACTATTATCTTTTTCGTAGATTTTTAGTAAAATATGATTTTCTTTTTGTAAAAATAGTAAAAACCTCTGCCAATATTCATTCTAAACACAGATACTAACAATTTGTACTTTACTTTTAATACATCAAATACCCTATTAATAACTTTTGTAAAAACCCCTTAAATAGAAATGTTTTTTTTTATGTTCACATGACCGAAAACGCCTGGGATTAGCGAAGACTAAAATGACGTCCCACACTAGCAAACTTCCGGCCAAAGTGAAATTACATTGTATCTTTTGACGTTTTTAATGACAGTCGTGTGACGGCGCATACAGTCGGACCACAATAAGTTTGCAGAATCAATAATCTAGTCACACCATAAAAACTTCATCTGGCAGCCCATTTAAGACGTCATTCAAAAATTTCAGAAGATAATGAATAGAAGAGAGAAAATTGGAGTTGGAGAAGTTATTTATAAAATAATAAGTCCTAATAAATCTGCAAAAGAACAAATGGAGTCGGTTCTTATGAAAAAAGAGAAATGCTATATAGAAATCCTATCCTCAACGAGTTAGTTTCAATTACTTTCTTACATGGTCATGAAAGAAGAACGCTAAATTAACAAAATTAAATATAAACGAAATTGCGAAATATATATGTTTCACCGTACAATGGACTCAATAAACATTAGTAAATAAAGTGAGATCTATTTCTAAAAATTGTGGGACACCCTAATGCTCCCCTTTATTTTTTTATTTTAATAAGTCCGCGGCAACATATATGAGGAGTCTATCTTATAAGGAGGACCCACTATAACCTCTTTCCTCAAATTAATGCGGGTGAAGCTATAGGGCACCTCTAGTACATGATAAATCTTACCGATTTCTATGTAAGTAGGTCCAGACAGCGGTTCTTTGGTCGTATTTGACGACGGGATCTCTCTTGGCCGTCTGTAGCCGATCTAAAGCCGAAGACAGAGCGCCGAGCAAAGCTTGGTCGTTGCAAGTTCCAATCCATTGCGACATTCTAAACAAGAAATTTTCATAATAAAAAAAAATACGCTACTTATTGAAGTGAAAATATTTAATTTTAAATAATTTCTTTAACTTTAAGGGATGTCTGAGGACATAGAGCATTCGACATTTGAATCTCCTAAATTAAATCACCTCTCCCAGGCAGTGTATAGTTAATTCTAGAAAGATGTGTTCTTAATTTTTTATCCACCCGTCTAGTTACCTTTTTACATGATTATCAAAAAAGTCTGCACCAAACAAACTTCTTAAATCAAAGAGAGCTCATAACGCCTTATTCCAAAAGGTGGGCTAAAGTACGAGACGACCGAAATAACAAGAACGAAACGCTATAATGTGCAGCGAGACGTCATTACATTCGTTATAATCGATAATTGATAAGCGACTCTATCCTCTATCCTCCTCTACTCCGTCTTTACGAATGACATGCCCAAGACTCCTAAGGTCTATCTTGCGTTTTCGCCGACGACACCGCCTTCAATACAATAGACTTCAATCAGCTGCTACCACCCTTGGCGATTGGTTCCGTAGATGGCGTATCGAGGTTAATCCGGAAAAGCGTCGCGATCCTCTTTAGCACGACACCGCCTCCTTAGCGTTCTCTTCCGAGCATCCAACTATTTGACCGGGTCATCCCCGGGAGGAGCGGGTCAAGTCTTGGGAGTCACATTTTTGTTTCTTAGGTTTTCACGCACATCACTCATTAAATAAAACTAGTTTTTACGGGTTAATGCACGAAAACTTTATTTATTTATTGACGTTTCGTAGCCTTTACAGGCTACGTCGTCAGAATAAAACTTTTATTTAATTTGTCGAGCTACCTTCGAAAGACTTTTATTGAGCGTTTGGTTATTTCATTGTTCGAATTTTAAGTATTATTGTCTATGTATGAATTTATTATTTAATTTACTTAATAAAGTATTTTATTTAAAATTCTTGTTTGTAATTTTGAGTTTATTTATTTGACCCTAACTACCGTAAACTACCACCGGTTCCAAAATTGGGAGACCTTCCTGAGAAGAACCGGCGAAACAAACGGCAGCTGAACGGCGGTTCGTTCCTCGAATGATGCGCGAGGCTATTGAGATTAAAAAATATCCAAATTTCAATAGGGAAGATGGTTGGTATATACCACCAGCTTGAGAACCTATTATACAGGAGATAAAATCCCAACCCCGAGCACACACTGCAAGACCATCAGATACTATTAGTTCTTTTTGTTTGCATAATTTAACATAAGAAGGAGATAGAAAGCCTCTCTTGAGTTTGTTTCGCCGGTTCTTCTCAGGAAGGTCTCCCAATTTTGGAACCGGTGGTAGTTTACGGTAGTTAGGGTCAAATAAATAGACTCAAAATTACAAACAAGAATTTTAAATAAAATACTATATTAAGTAAATTAAATAATAAACTCATACATAGGCAATAAAACTTAAAAATCGAACAATGAAATAACCAAACGCTCAATAAAAGTCTTTCGAAGGTAGCTCGACAAATTAAATAAAAGTTTTATTCTGACGACGTAGCCTGTAAAGGATACGAAACGTCAATAAATAAATAAAGTTTTCGTGCATTAACCCGTAAAAACTAGTTTTACTTGGGAGTCACGTTAGATAACCGATTGACGTTTGCACCCCATCTCAAGATAGTTCGTAATCGCGCAGCATTCATTCGCGGCAGGTTATTCCACTTCATGGGGAAGCGAAGTAAAATGTCACTTATGCATAAGTAGACAATTTTCAAAACTTGCATCCACCCTATCATGACCTACGCGAGTGTTTCTTCGCCCACGTACCTCCGTCGCGTTTTAAACCACTAAAAACGCTGCAATATCGTGGGTTGCTCGTGGTACGTGCGCAACATCGATTTGCATCGCGATCTCAAGATAGGCTCCATCGCGAAGTATATGAAGGACGCCTCGAGACGTTACTTCGACAAAGCCGCGCATTATCCGAACCCCTTAGTTGTTAAAGCCATTAGTTATCACACGTCCGCCCTCCCTCCTCTCAATCGTAGGTTCCTCCGATTCCGGCGGCCTAGGCGAGTACCCCGACGACGAAATAGCCCGCGTCAACGCGCCTCCAACTCCTCCACATAGGCCACAATCATCAACACTACACAGCTAGCAAACTTGCACACTAGCTTAGCATTAAGCAGATACCGCACCCGTAGGAGTATAGTGGGAAGACCCGGTCTACACACGACACCCTATACTTGTATACTGGTGTACCAGTGTCGAGTGGTCTAGCTAGTGGTTCCAGACGGAGAGGAGACTCCCCCCGTGGGGAGATGCCATCCGCCTGGAATACCTCTAGAGGCACTCGCCGAGAATTGGCGCTTGAGGTCTTCTTAGGATCTCGCCGTTCCCAAACCCGGTGACGCTGTAAAGGTCTTGTGAGACCACAGCATACACACTCAAAAAAAAAGCCAGGAACAAAACGGAAGCGGTTCTCTCTGGTACAACAGCAAGGCTCCCCAGCAGTGATCCATCATCGGCACCTACCGCATTTCTTCGGCGAATTCTTGGGAGATTTAATACAGTCCACCAGCATCGACCCGACTCCACCCTCCACCAAGCACGTACGGGTCGGTAACTTTTCGCTACTGCGACAGTACGGCGTACCGTACAGTTACTCTTGGTTTAAACCTAATATTGTCTCTGTTTTAAGCAAACAAAAGTGACGGCATCAGTTTTAGCCCAGGTTTAACTTTAGTCTACGTTTTGTAATAAGACGGATAATGTTTTAGCTGCTAATTTGACTTTTAACAATTGACAAAGACTTAATGATGTGTTAATCAAACAAATTGAAGCCTTAATTTGAATCATGAAGTTTGTGCAAGTGGACCATAAGATAAGACTAGAATCTAGAGCAGTAATAATATAACAAAATTTCAAAAATTTACTTACCTTAACAAAGTAAGGATATCGTGCCTAGTCCCCTCACCATTAGGCAGTCTTGCGACAGCGTCTCTTACAAGGGATATGAAACTGGCGTGCCGTGGCCGATCAGCCACGAGTAAGGAACCCTGGGTACCGCAAGATATGGACGCGCGCGCACACGGACCCACCACGGAACAATACCTAGAGCAATAAGTATGCTTATTAATATCTCTGCCACAGCGTCTCTAACAGGGGATATGAAACTGGCGTGCCGAGGCCGATCAGCCACGAGTAAGGAACCCTGGGTCCCGCAAGATATGGACGAGCGCGCACACGGACCCACCACGGAACAATTCCTAGAGCAATAAGTATGCTTATTAATATCTCTGCCACAGGGTCTCTTACAGGGGATATGAAACTGGCGTGCCGAGGCAGATCAGCCACGAGTAAGGAACCCTGGGTGCCGCAAGATATGGACACGCGCGCACACGGACCCATCACGGAACAATACCTAAAGCAATAAGTATGCTTATAATAATAATTTATTTTCCTTTACAATAGCCTTCTTAACAAAATGAGCGATTGGAGTCTCCATTTAAGCAAATATTGCCTGTGTTTAGAGGCTCCGCTCTTCCTTAACTAATAATGTGATTTACAAAATGCAGTATGGTTACAGTGAATGAACAAATGATCATGCAAAAAACAAAAAGAAAGAATGAACTAAAATAAAACAAAACAATAAACAGACGATCTACGCTGAAAATAATCTTACAATCATTAAATCCCATTAATAGGACTTAAAGCTAAGCAAAAGTATTTGCAATTAAGAAAGGTTATGCAGATGTTGTGTGCCATGTGTGCATGTGTTTTTGTGGCTTTATGTGTGTATGTGTGTGTGTGTGTTTAATTTTATACATTGTTTTATGTCATTTATGAAATACGGTACAGTAAAGATTCAGTTTCTTCATACGTTCGAGGCTGAATCCATTTAATTAAAAGGCTCTTACACCCGTGATGATTTTTGTCATATATGTTTATTTCAGGGATGTTGCAGATGCCGATATTTTCACATCCGCGGATGCGGATGCGGATGCGGAGTTTAGCAGGCTCACATCCGCGGATGCAGATGCGGATGCGGATGTATAAGATATTATGTAAATAAAGTCTATTAATGAAGAATTAAAACAATGACAACGTAATAATTATTAACATTTTTATTGTAATCAAACATAATTAAGTACTTATTTTTATGTTAAATATAAGTAATGTATAATGTAACAAATTTTTTAAACTTCACTTCTGTTTTTTATATCAGTAATTGTATTTAAAAATAGGAGCATTATACTTGATGTAGTATTGCCGCCTTTTCTGATTCAAGTCTGTTACGCAGAGGTTCGTAAATTAATCCCGCGCTACTAAATAGTTGTTCGCTAGGAACAATGCCCGGTGGAGCAGATAAAAATCTTCGTACTATCGGCGATAATACCTTGAATTCCCCTCGATGTACACTCCACCAGTTTAAAGGATTTTCATTCACATTTATTCTTTTTTTAGTACGGTAAGCAAGTAACTCTTTTTTGAATACAGCTTCAATGCTACCATTTTCTGGCTCATCTTGACTCTCGTCTTCACTCGCCAGGTCGTTTTGTAAGCATGGCTTTTTGTTGAAACCTGAAGTCCCTGGTCCTAGTTGTTCCGTATCATTTTCCGTGCAATCAGTTATTTTAATTATTTTAGCCCTTTTGGCATTGGTATTAAGAGATTCAAAATTGTCATTCTCAGTATTTATCATTTTTAAAATGTCATCTTTAATCTTTTCTTCAGTCACCGGTGTGAAAAATTTGTGCTTATAGCGAGGATCTAAGTAGGTAGCGATGGTATATAAATTGTAGGCACGCGTCAATCACCGGCCTCGCCCAATTTCTTTCTTGTCGCTACTTGTATAATATTCGCATCCGCATGAACATTCGCATTGATAAATGCGGATGCGGAAGCAGATGCAGATGTCCAAATCAATGCGGATGTTCCGCATTTGCGGATGCAGATGCGAATGTTCGCAACATCCCTGGACTTTATTTCTTTATTTATTTTATTATATAAGATGGCCGAACGCGAGTTAAATTGCCTACTAGCAAATGCAGTTTTAGTGACAGTCGACTTGACGATTATGTCTTTTCGCCTTTTTTCCGAGAGATGAGAGTCATAGGGTATGGATTTGTGAATTTTGAGAATGGTCGTAATTATATATAATTTCCTCACAGAGAGTAGGTCACTAATTCGGTACAAATCGTTAGTACGGAAACGTCGCTTCTTGAAGTACATAACCTTTATAAGGGTTCTTAGTGCTCTTTCTAAATCAAGAAACTGGGTCTTCGCAGCGCCACCCCAAACTGGAATACAGTAAGTGATAATGGGTTGGGCTAGGGCTATGTATATTTGATTAAGGAGATTTTTAGAAGAGCCCTTTTCTTCAGTGACGGCTGGCATAACGTGCCTGAGGGTTTTGAAAATCCAGGTAAGTTTCCTAATTCTAATACTAACGTGGTTTAGATGTGGGTACCATGATAGTCTTTGGTCCACAATGACACCTTAATATTTAGCTTGTGAAACTTTTTCAATTATCGGACAGTTACAAAAGTTTTGATTCTCATTATCCAGGCATTCATGAATTTTCAGGCTAAAGTCACTACGCCGCTGCGAATTATTGTAAACTAGCAAACCAGTGAACCAAATGTTCACCAAAACCTGATTTAAAAAAAATGTATTTAATTAATTGAGAACTTCGGAGATTTTGTGTGGTTTCGTTTGAAATTCGTGATTTCTCGAAAACCGGAAGTGCTACGTTACTCAAATCCGGTTTGTAGTCTTATCAGACTATTCTTAACTTATACCTTGAATATTCTCTTTATCCATCTCTTACGCTTTGGCCGCTGAAACAGCACCACAGACAGACGGACGGACGGACGGACGGACTTGTCTAATAGATAAGAGATGCCGAAACAAATATAATTTGTTTTAGCAGTATTTAATGAAAGGAGGTTTTGTTGCAACCACATAGCAACCTGCGCTAGACCAACTTCAGCATCCGTCCTGACTGCATCCCACGATTCTCCAGCAAAGATGACGGCGGTGGCATCGGCATACGAAAGGATTTTGGCATTTGCTATATTCATGCTACAAAGGTCGTTTATGTAGATGAGAAATAGGGTGGGTCCCAAAACGCTACCCTGCGGTACGCCACACGTCACCCCAGCATCCTCACTATTGCACGCAGGAAGTTTTACCTTTTGTTTTCTCTCTGTCAGATAACTTTTAAAGAGAGCAGGTGGGGTCCCTCTTATTCCTATATGTTCTAGCTTTTGTACAAGGATAGGGATGGAGACGGTATCAAATGCTTTTCTCAGGTCAAGGAAAACGGCCAAACATTTTTTATTTTGGTCTAGTTGCCGAGTTACAAAAGAACTTAATTCAGCAATAGCATCTTCTGTCGATTTTCCTTGTCCGAAACCAAACTGCGCAGGTGATAATTCAGTTTTATTGAGGTATTTTAGTAATCTAGTATTTAATAACTTCTCCAAAATTTTAGATATTGCTGGCAGAACCGAAATCGGCCTATAGTTACTGATGCCTTCTCCATTCCCACCCTTGTACACAGGTGTAATAATTGATCTCTTTAGCGGTATGGGAAATATGCCTTTATCAAAACTTAAATTAACTATGCGAGTGATAATAGGGGCCACATCATCAACTGCCAATTTCTAAAACTGGTTTGGGATATTATCCCAACCTGGGGCGCTATGCTTATTATTACTAACTATGAGAAATGTATGGCATAAAGAAAAACCTACATCCTTCCTACATAACTGTTTTAATAAAGGAATATTATTCGCAATTTCGTCCACGTTATAGTTAGTTTTTTAAGAATCCCACAAGAACCTAACATTTTCCAGGATAAAAAGTATCCTATGACTCAATACAGGTAATAAACTGTGTTCCAAATATCCAAATCCCAATCCGTTCAAACGTTTTTGCGAGGTTGAGTAATAAACAAACATTCAAACTTTTCTAACATTAGGACTGCACTTTAACATTTAAGGTATCCTTAACACATCTAAATGGACTTAGGCGTTTAGAAGTTATGGGGAATAAAGAAACATATATACATGAACACTTAAAACATTACACTGTTTTTTGGGCAGTCATGCAATGAATAGGAGAGACTGTTGTCAAGTTTACAAATAGCAAATACGAATAGCCATGTGAAGTGTCGGCATTATTACGGCAAATAATATAAATTAAGTCGAGTCAAACTCTATATTTAACGAAACATTAAATTTTTTTTTCTTTATTTTTATTACGAATACAGTCTTACCCATGTTGGATGTAGGTAAAAGGTTTCGCTGCTGTGGAAAACCTACGTCTTTCTTGTGTTCTAAATTCAGTTATTTCAGCGGGCGTTGGCGCTCTCATCACCCATGACGTGGGAAACCTAACGAACAGTCAAAGTATATGTTAGCTTAAAGTTTATATGCCGACACTTCTCTTAGCTATACGTACTTGCTACTTGTAAACTTGACAACAGTCTGTACATCTCATGCGTTAAAAGGAGTAAAAAGGAGAGACTGGTGTGGAGTTTACAAATAGCAACACGAATAGCCAAATTAAGTGCTGGCATCATAAAACAGAACGAACTCGATTTTGCTATTCATTTATTATACGTATCAATTATTTTTATTCACAAACAGCAACTTAATAACTGATGATTTTATAATGAATTTATGGCAACTTAAGAAATTCAGTGTTAAATTAAAACATTAAAATTGTGATACTATGAGTTGTAAAAGGTAGGACAATAGTTTTCGAAATATATCACTCTCATCATTTAAGCCTTCCTACAATATTTTACATGCCAAAAGGAGTATAAAGAATTTAAAAAGGGTATCTCTTCATAAAATAATCCTTAATAGGCATGTATTTATGTTTACTTATGTGACTTGGAGTTCGACGGCGCAGATGGGTAGCACGTTCGGTCTGTGATCGTGAAAGTTAAGCAACTTTCGCAATGGTCGGTAATTGGATGTGTGACCAACAACTAAGTATGTCGAGCTCCTAAGGTACGTTAAGCCGTTGATCCCTGCATCTGCAGTCGTTTGCACCCGCCAATTCGTATTATGCGAGCGTGGTGGATCATTGCCTATTCTCCCTTTTCCATACATAGAGAAGGCCTGTGCCCCAGCAGTGGGGACATTATCACTACATAGTATAAAACAAAGTCGCTTTCTCTGTCCCTATGTCCCTTTGTATGCTTAAATCTTTGAAACTACGCCATGGATTTTGATGCGGTTTTTTTTAATAGATAGAGTGATTCAAGAGGAAGGTTTATATGTATAATACATGCATAATATAGTAGAGAAACACTGATAACTTTAGAGGATTTTAATGTAAGGTCGTAAATAAACACATTTTTTGCGCTTACATTGCAAACGCTGGCTGAACCACACGAGATAGATCAAAATAATGTACTACAGTATTGTACACCTTAAAAAGGTCTACAAAAAAGTCCGCGATGGTATATGTCTATCTCTTAAGGATAACCCACAATAACCAATTTTTATCCTATACTTTTTACGAGAAATAATAGATTATTTACGAAGCGATTTTAAGCAATATAACATTCATCCTTATCCAATTAAGTACCATAAATACATTGTGCATTTAATATAGAACAATTTGGCCCTTTAACGCATATAATTTAAATGAATATTTTCGAAGATATTACAAATTTAAAATTCAGGGACATAGCGGTTCCGACGCTACCGGGCTTGACGGCGCGTGCCTATTGTAATTGGGTATAAGAAGAATGTCATTGTGTATAATACAAGCCTGAGAACAAAAACTATAGTCTACACTACAGCTTTACACCGAAGCGAAGCGAGGGCGGGCCACTAGTATAAGTAAATATTTCCAACACTCACACCAATTAGCCTAGCCCTAAAGTAAGCACTATAAGGCTTGTGTTATGGGATACTAGGGTAATGGATAGAATACATATACAGTACATATATAAGTATATTTATATAGAAACATATTATACATCCATGACTGGAGTACAAATGCTCATATTCATCACACAAACATCTGCCTCCACCGGGATTCGAACCCGGGACCTCTGGTGTCGGCGACACCATGAAACCCGGCTTACAAACCACTCGGCCACGGAGGTCGTTTTAATCGGTTGATAATGATGATGATGTACCTGGGTGGTGGAGGATCGTTAGCAGGCGGGCCAGGCGACACGGACCGCAGCCAACGCTCACATATACGACCCAGTATAGCGTCGCAATCACGACCCGCACCGATCCACTGGTACATCTACACATCACAATCATCATAGCTGTTTTAAATCAGAATTATTGGAACGAAGTACCTTTTCGGACGGTAGGGTTACCGGATGAGGGTAAGTGTCTCTCCACATCTTCACGTCACGTCACGATGTAATTTTCCAAGTTATGTCAACGCATCGTGTCCATAGAGGTATAAGAATAGAGTGGGGAAGTCGGCTCTAAAAGTGTCCGTCTAGTAGAAAGAGAAAAAGATGAGAGACCGCTAGCTATCTCTCACTCCTGTGACGAATGCGCAGTCGTCTGTCCAATCGTTGGTCGAAGCATCACATCGAAATAGTAATGAATAAAGATATATTGATTTCTGATTGCAAGTAGAAGTGTCCCTCTAATAGAAAGAGAAAGAAAATGAGAGACCGCTAGCTTTCTCTCTAATCGCGCTTGCGCATTGGCAACCGTAAGCATCTTACTATTTCACGTCACGTCACGATGTAATTTTCCAAGTTATGTCAACGCATCGTGTCCATAGAGGTATAAGAATAGAGTGGGGAAGTCGGCTCTAAAAGTGTCCGTCTAGTAGAAAGAGAAAAAGATGAGAGACCGCTAGCTATCTCTCACTCCTGTGACGAATGCGCAGTCGTCTGTCCAATCGTTGGTCGAAGCATCACATCGAAATAGTAAGATGCTTACGGTTGCCAATGCGCAAGCGCGATTAGAGAGAAAGCTAGCGGTCTCTCATTTTCTTTCTCTTTCTATTAGAGGGACACTTCTACTTGCAATCAGAAATCAATATATCTTTATTCAAATTGGGTGTATAGTACAACTCTGACGAATCGTCCAAAATTTTTTTTTATTGAACAAGATGCATAATGGAACACTTATAGGCTTAACACATCGCTTCAATAATACTAGCGGAATGCCATCCACGCCAGGTCCCTTAAGCTCATCCAACATCTTAATTTCAGATTGTATATCGCTTTCACTTATATAAATTGTACTATTAACATTATTAATCTACCTCAAATTTATCCCCAGAAAAAAGAAATTGAGCATCACTATTGCACAAATCAGCGAACACGGAGCTAAAGAATGTAGCAAAATGATCACAAATACCTTTCCTATCAGATGATTCATGGTCATAGAATTTCATAGTATTTGGACTACCACACGAAGTATTCTTCTCATTGTGAAATAAACTTCAAAAGTTATTTAGTATCTTTATTTAAAGATTCATCCAAGTTAACGTGAGTGATTTGAAAACTCAAATAAAATTACAAAATTAGACAAATAGACTCAGAAAATGATACCCAAATTGCATCACTAGAGAATGACTGTTACGAAAAAGCGTTCACCAGACATATTCAGTATTTCGATCATTTATTGTTAGCACTGACATTATATTGTATTATCAACCAGGGATGTAACGGAGGTAAATTTATCGGAACAGAAGTCGGAGTTTTTAAATTTAATTTATCGGAGTCGGAGGCAGAGTCGGGGTCAGAGGCAGAGTCAAAAGTGGTGAAAAGAAAGATATTTTTGCATTTAAGAAAAAAAACATCATTCAGTCAACCTTGTTTCATTTTAATAAATAAAATAACCCTTTTTCATTTAAATTTACTTATTATTAACGCAGACTCCCAATGCGTCGACCTCCGATTAAAACCTCCGATTAATCGGAAGTTCCGTCTAGACGGAATCGGAGTCGAAGCTCCGTAACATCTCTGTTATCAACTATAAAAATGTTATAAGACAATGAAGATTGAAGCTGCTTTTGGATGTTGTAATTTCAGTTCATTACTAGATAATCTCGAAACAATGATTTGATCTCATTAAATGCATAGAATTATAATTATTTACTTCTCAATAAATAAAACTAGTTTAAACGGGATAATGCACGAAACTTTATTTATTTATTGACGTTTCGTAGCCTTTCCTAGCCAAACCTAGCACAGTCGACCGACAACCTGCTATACTACCTTACATGAAAGGAGTCACTGACAAGATTGGGAGGATTCTGAAGCGTGCTTCAATCAATACATACTTCAAGCCGCCAAAGAAGATCAACCAGTTTCTACGACCAGTCAAGTGCAATATACCCTTTCAAGTTGCTGGTGTCTACAAACTTGAATGCGACTGTGGGCTCTCCTACATCGGTCAAACAAAGAGGAGTATAGGGACTCGCGTAAAAGAACATATCGCAGATATGAAACATAGGCGCGAAAATAAATCTGCAGTGTGTGAACATGCATTAGGGGGACCTAACCACTACATTAGATTTGATAGACCACAGATCCTTGCAGCTGAGCGGCGTTTCGTTCCTCGAATGATGCGCGAGGCTATTGAGATTAAAAAATATCCAAATTTCAATAGGGAAGATGGTTGGTATATACCACCAGCTTGGGAACCTATTATACAGGAGATAAAATCCCAACCCCGAGCACATACTGCAAGACCATCAGATACTATTAGTTCTTTTTGTTTGCATAATTTAACATAAGAAGGAGATAGAAAGCCTCTCTTGAGTTTGTTTCGCCGGTTCTTCTCAGGAAGGTCTCCCAATTTTGGAACCGGTGGTAGTTTACGGTAGTTAGGGTCAAATAAATAAACGCAAAATTACAAACAAGAATTTTAAATAAAATACTTTATTAAGTAAATTAAATAATAAATTCATACATAGACAATAAAACTTAAAAATCGAACGATGAAATAACCAAACGCTCAATAAAAGTCTTTCGAAGGTAGCTCGACAAATTAAACAAAAGTTTTATTCTGACGACGAAGCCTGGAAAGGCTACGAAACGTCAATAAATAAATAAAGTTTCGTGCATTATCCCGTTTAAACTAGTTTTATTTAATGAGTGATGTGCGTGAAAACCTAAGAAACAAATATATTTACTTCTCTTTAACTTTTATACTTTAACTGTTTATGTCATTTCAACAATTTATAATGAATATTTTAATGATAAATATAATATCTACATGTAAAATTACAAATTTACTTACTTGTGTCTCTGGCAAAAATTGTAAATATGGCACAAAGTCATCAGGGTGAGGTCCTCTTTCCCCGGCAAGGAAGTCCAAAGCGGAATCCAGCTCAGAACACCAATCATCAGACACTGATGAGAAAAAATATTATAAAGAAAATTTTACTAGAAAAAATTCCACGCGGACCAGGCAGCAGACAGGGCTCCAACCCACACCCTCCGCTATCCGGGCGGACGCGCTAACCATTATGCTACCGCGGCCCTTATTGGCCATGTCGAATTTTCTCTAGCATTTCTTAGGCTGCTATTGTGGCAGTGCCATACCTTCGCAGCAGCCCACAATGTCAAATGAATACTGTACGCGACGACCGAAGCGAGAAGAGATGACTTACGACAATATGAGATTAATGTAAAAAATGTATCTATAATTTCACATGAATCGGTTGTATACACATTAAAAATATCATTCCCTTGTTGTCTTATTAGAATGAGTCGGATATCGCAATACTAGATAGCTCTGCCCATAGTAAACCATTGTAAAATTGATAGTTCAGAGCGATATTCCGCCCCGTTCTCTCCAATAATCTTATAAGACTTTATCTAAACGATCGCCACGACGCCAAGCGGCGGCGCGGGGAAACTAGTCAGAATACTGATAGTTCCGACCTATAGGAGGGACGGAGACAATAGGTTGTCCTTGTCTCACGTCTTATAGGATTTTGCCTGAGTTGACAATTTTCGATAATAGTATGTTTTATGTTTTGATTGATTTATTTTATGTCTTATTAGATAGTAGGTAGTTATAGGAATAATATATCGAAGTTTTGTATGAATCGTGTTAATAGTTTAAGCGTAATTAAGGAAAATATTGGGAATAGTTTTTTATGAATAGTCAATAGGATATAGGTATAATTGTTATAATAATGATGTTATTTTGTGTGTTTTTACTTCTTCTTTAAAATGGTGTATGATAGTTAGACATTAAGTGAGTATAAGTAGGTTTTTTAAGACTTTTTAATTTGCAAACTTTATAGGGCCGCAGAGCTGTTGTTTATTAATATTCTTGTAAGAAACTTGTTGTATTAGATAGGTAACACGTAGGGCTACGCAAATAAATAGGTATCACATCAATAAGTATAAAAATGTGCCGTGTAGGAGACAAAACATGTTTGTATAGAACCGTTTTCTGAAACATGTTGCGCTCCCCACCCGGCGCGCCCGGAGCGCGCGGGTGGGGCAGCGAAGCCCCGTGGCAGGGCGAAGCCCTATGGAGGGGGAAAGTATAAATATTGCGGAGACCTATTTTTTGCGCGCCACACCTAAAATATCGTGTTTACGGACACATAACTATGTTAAAAATATGCCCAAATGTATGCCCGATGTATGTACAATTAGTTTTAAGCTCGCACTATTGTAAATTTTGAGAAAATGAAAAATAAAGTATAGCGTGGGTGAGGTAATGGATCGCTGGCCAGCTCAGTCCTAGCATATAAAATTCGAGTCGGAACATGCCCCGACATGCATTCAGCGACAGGCGCTCCTACCCTAAGGAACAGGAAGAAACAATCAAGCGGTTCACTCTGGACAACATCAGCTCCTCTCAGCGGCCATCTATTCAAGCTGTACCCGGCGTCCCGTACATTTTTTGATCTGGACCTGAAGCCTCCTCTCACCGGCCATCCATTATCAGCGCCCACCGATTTCTTCAATACCGAACACCAGGGGTTTTATTCGCCGAAACTACAGTCCACTACAGTCAAGACTCCTGCGTGTAACTTCCTCCACCCCCTCAGTACGAGTCGGTAACTGTCCGCTACTGCGACAGCCCGGCGTCCCGTACATTTTTTGGTCGCATCGAGCCGGATCTACAGCGCCGAGGAAGAATTGAAGAAAAATTATAGAAGATTGAAGAAAGAAGATCGTCGTGGTCAATTATAGAAGATTGAAGACAGAAAATATAGAAGATTGAAGAAAGAAAAATGCCACGAACAAGATCTCAAGCTGACAAAATGGACCAGGCCGAAGAGGAGCGCATCGAGAGAAGCATCGAAGAGCCAGAGCGAACCGCCGCAGGAGAGAATCCTGTCCAACCCCCGTCAAGAGCGCCATCGGAAGGGAGCGACACCGTGACGCGGCCACCGTACCCGCTGCGCCACGACCAACCGCCGAAGTCGCCATCAGCTGCAATGACATCACACCGAACAGAATCGAAGATAGCTGCACGAAGAGCAGCAAAGAAGAAGCGCCTGGCGGCGTTATATGAAGAATTAGAGAAGACTATAAGGGCGAAGATACGAATGGAAGAGCAAGATAGCGAAGATGAGGACCAAGAGGACCCGCAAATAGAAGATAGAAGAGAAACCGATAGCACACATGGCACCGAGAATGAAGAACGCGTCATCACCTGGCTGGACACAGCGACAAAGGACACCACCCCCGACGGCGGCACCACCGAACCGTATAGAAGACCGACCGTCGAGGACACCGTACAGATTGGTGGGTCCGTCGCACCACTTGCCGAAGATCCAGTCCCAGGGGCGCTGAAGCCATGCATTAAGAAGAGTCCGCCGTCCCGTATTGATGAAGCTCAAGAACAAGTCGCCCCTACGTTGCCGCCACCGCCACCGCCGGTCCAGCAAGACAGAATGAACGTCTCCGAGCTGGCCGTCGCAATCAACGCCGCCGTCCGCGCCGCCGTACCGCCTGCACCGGGTCCACGCTACGTCGGAGAGCTGCCACCCTTCAGCGGCGCGCACACAGAATGGCTCACCTTCAGGGCGGCGTACCTAGAATCCGCAACCTACCTATCGTCGGCGGAAAACTCATCAAGATTAAGAAGAGCCCTCAAGGGGAAGGCAAGAGAAGCCGTGGGCAGCATGCTAATAAGCAACACTACGCCGGGCGACATTATGAAGCAATTGGAGCACAGATTCGGCCGCCCGGACAACATCGCCGCAACCGAAATAGAAAAGCTGCGCCATTTACCCCGACTCACCGATTCGCCGAGGGACATCGTGATTTTTGCAAACAAAATCAAGAATAGCGTCGTCGCACTACAAGTACTGGGGCAAAACGAGTACCTACGTGCGCCGGACATCATGAAGACAATTATAGAAAAGCTGCCGTCGACTATCCGCTTCAGATGGAACGATTACGTCAACAATCACCGAATGCAAGAAAAAATGAAGACGGATCCGGAACTATTGATTTTCGCCGAATTCATCGAAGTCGAGGCAGAGAATAACGCAAGATACGCCCCACCGGAGTACGTTGGAAATGAAGAAAACTCCACAACAAGAAAATTTCGAACACTTAACATCGAGGCGACACATAATAGAAGAGCGCCTGAAGATCGATTCCCATGTCCGGTATGCAAGAAATCCGGACATTCGACGGCCACCTGCTTTACGTTCAAGACCGCCGATCAAGATAGAAAATGGGAAATAGCGAAGAAAAGCAACCTTTGTTTCCGTTGCTTACAATACAGAAGCAAGATGCACAGATGCAAGACGCGAGCGTGCGAGAGGGACGGCTGCGAGCGCTCACACCACCCACTTCTTCACTACAAACCGAAGTCGCAACGTGAAGAAGAACCAGCCACGAGCAACACAGAAACCGAGAGGGTGGCCAGCACACACAGCAGCCGCAAGCGAGACGCGTACTTGAAGATAATTCCGGTTCGCATTACGGGACCGAGCGGACATTTTGATACGTACGCGCTACTGGACGACGGCTCTACAGTCACACTTATAGAAGAGAGGGCCGCCGAGAAGATAGGAGCCGAGGGACCTACCGAGCGACTGAAGATAGAAACGATCGACGCCAAGCTGCCAGAGACACAGTCGCGCCGGGTCACCTTCAAGATCGAGGGACAGAACAGAGGCTTCAAGGTGCAAGCACGCACCATCGACCAAATGAAGATTTCACCGCAAACCATAGAAGAAAGACACTTATGGGGCTGCAAGCACCTGCGGGGAATCGAGAAGCACGTCACCTATGAAGACGCCCGGCCGACCATCCTCATCGGGCAAGACAACTGGCACCTACTCTTGGCCAGCGAAGTCCGCCGGGGGAATAGAAGACAGCTAGTGGCATCGAAGACGGCTCTGGGATGGGTACTCCACGGCACAGACTCGCGCACCATCGGTCACCGGGTTCATTTCGTGAACCACCTCACCGAAGAAACAGAAGATTCAAAAATGGATGAACTACTTCGTCATCACTTCGCATTGGAATCGATCGACATCGAAAAGAAGAAACCACATTCCGATCCAGAGGAGAAAGCCATCAAGATGCTAGAAGAACACACCCACAGAAAAGAAGATGGAAAATTTGAAACCGCGCTACTCTGGAAGAAAGAGGACATCAAGATGACCAACAATTATGAAAATGCGTACAGACGGCTGCTCACCACAGAGAAGAAAATCGACCGCGATCCACGCCTAAGGGGAAAATACATCGAACAAGTGGACGCGCCAACAGAAAAAGCATGCGCCGAGCAAGAGCCGCCATCAAACAAACAAGAAGAATGGCCCGCCGAAACTGCAACCGCAACCGAAGTCACCGGGGAAGAACGCGTGCACCACATAAGCACGAAGAAAGCGCCGTCAATATCCGAAGCTGCACCGGACGTCACTCGATTTTCGCGCTGGGACAAGTTAATTCGGACTACGGCAAGAGTACTACAGTTCATCGACCTCTGCCAAGCGAAAACCGACCGAATTAACTACAGAAGAAAGAAAAACGAAAAGGAACCCGACTGGAAGAAAAATCAAAAATCGGCGCCGACACATAAGAAGAAAACGACGCCAACCGTTCAAGAAAGAAAATTCATCGCAATCGACCGAAGATACATCGAACGCGCAGAGAAAATAATAGTTCGCGTAATACAACACGACGCATTTCAAGACGAGTTGAAACAACTGCGAGGGGGCGCCACCATCGCTACGAACAGTCGACTCCGCCCACTTTCGCTAATAGTCAACGACGGCGTGTTGTACCTACGAAGCCGGGTCAACGCAGCGGCGGGAGTAACCGAAACTCAGAAGACACCGGCGATACTCGACGGGAACCATCGAGCCACCCAACTGTGGATAGAACACACACATAGAAGCCTTCTCCACGCCGGGGTG